TTGGCAAATTTTTTCTTCACAGTTCAAATTTACATGGTAAACAAGATATTGTGGAAAATTATTTAAGTACTTAGGAAAATAAAGTCTTCATGAGTACTTATACATTCTCACTTAAAGGATAAGCTAATTAAAAAGCATTACTAAGTGAGAATCATAGTAGATAGGAATTCTCATGGTAGTGAGAATTGGGGGGGGGTAGTAGAAAGTCTTTTCAATGTATATTTTATATATGTTGATTTTTAAACCTTGTAAATATTTTGCCAATTCAAAAATGAAACATGAATATACTTACCTACATATAAACATACATTTGAGGGGATTAGGTTTCCTGTAACTTCATAGGAACCATGTAACCTCAAGATCATTCTTTGTATATTCTTTGAATATAAAAAATTAATATATATTTGTTGTTCTTTAAATAGCTTAGGTTTTGAGACAGTGTCCCTGGTCTGTGTCTTCAGCTAAGTAGACTTAATTTGAAAAGGATAGTGCAACTAGAAATAGGAAAATATTTCAATTGAAGTCAAAATATAAACTATGACTGGTAGGTAGTCCATTTATTCTCTGACAAGCTAGTACCACTGATTTTAGAGGTATTCATTTTACAATTAGTTTCTTCAGATAACCCAGAAGGGGTTAGAGGAAAGAGGAAGGTCAACTATATATATATTTTTTTTTTAAATCCAGAGTTCTCTGAGACCTGAAATAAAAGGATTTATGGGTCCATTCCTAATGATTGGATTTTCTTTTTCTTAGAGTAGGAGATTTCTTTTTTAAAGGAACTTTCCTTTGAAGTAGGCTAATTTTTTTTATTTAGAAAACTAACTTCTTCTGGATACACATGTGTATTGTTTCTGAAGATAGGGATTAATTTAAGAGCTGAGAAGAAAAATTTTTAAAAGGACAATAGAATATAATTTCCAAGAGGAGATCCTAGATGTATGTTTTTATAAAATTTTAGATTATTGCATTTATGTTACAAAGTAAAAGACATTACACAAAACTTAAAATCTTAGTTATAAAGGTAAACATATTTATTTTTTAAATTATACTTTATACAGTATTTAGAATTATTTCCTAGCAAAAATCATTTATTGCCATATCAGAGAATATTAAAATATAATACATCTGAATAGTATTCCCTTTTTCTGAAGAATTTATAAGTACTTAAATTACTACAGGCACACAGTTTACTTGTAATAAAGAATGTTAATAGGGAGGGTAGGAGTTAATTAACTAGACCCTTAATAATGGGCCTTTCTAGTCCAAGGAATCTTATAATTGCCTCTGAAGCTAGTTGCGTAGCAAGTTGCAAGATGAAATATCTAGATTTGTAGTCATTTTAAGAAAAAGGTTGTCTTCAGGCAAACTTTGGTACCTTTATTATGTAAAATGCCTTTTTGATTAGCAATACATATTGTCAAAATGGAGATAGAGGTTCAGTGCCTCCTATTTACATAAGATTAAATTAACAATAAGGCTAAGACTCTTCAAGGAGCACAGTTTTTACTCTCCTTGGAGAAATTAACCTTTAGGCAAACTTTATACATGTAGTAGTAGTAGTTTGTTAATCTTAAAAATATATTCCTATAAATACTAAGGATTATTGAAATGTGTGGTAATTTTCTCGAAAACTGAAACGAATGAATTGGGAAAGCATAGGGGATATTTTCATTAAATCTTAATATAAGAAGTATACAGGTTGAAAAATAACAGTGCATATATTCTGCAAATGTTATATGTTTCAAACTAGTTTACTGTATTATAAATCCCCCAAAGGATATTTAATACCCCTCTCTTAGGGATTGCCCATTTTGTACCATTCAGCTACTTGCAAAATCTGGTCAGTCTGTGCCAGGACTGCAATAGGATAAGTTAGTGAAAATAGCCTGTTTGGCTTCTGTTGGGAAGACCCGATGAAAATATGTTCCATTTTAAAAATGTTTCTGAAAGGACTTATTTTTTAGAAACGATGCTTGCCATTTCAAACTCTTCAGAAAAGCAGGTTTTACAAAATGCAAAAATCATCTCCTGAAAGTTTGAAAGGGTGGAGGGGGCTGCCGTGTGGGGGCGGTCTCATTTGCTGCCCACATCCTCCCTCTGTTCAGTGCCTTGTGTGCTCACGGGTTCCCTGGAGCGGATCACCATATAATTGATGTGCAGTCTGCATTGCTGAATCCTGGACTGCACCATTCTGTGTTCAAGGGAAGATGTAATCTGATCCCTCTGCTGCTGAGGGAGGAATCTGTTCAGTCAAGGCTTTGACAGGGCATAGTCTCCTCCAATAATCTTCTCGGTTCTCTCTCATTATTCCCTCGAGTTCTCCTCAGTCAAGCTGCATGTATGTATGTGTGTCCCGAGGAGCGGTTTGATACTGAGCTGCATCTGCCTTTACTGTGGAGTTTTGTTGCCGGTTCTGCTCCCTAATCTTCCTTTTCTGACGTGCCCGAGCATGTCCACATTAGAATCTGTGACATACCTACCTGAAAAAGGTTTATATTGTCAGAGACTGCCAAGCAGCCGGACACACGGGGGCACAGAATCACTGAAAGGGAAAAATACAGAAAACATGGGTTTCTACGGCACGCTAAAAATGATTTTTTACAAAGTAAGTAACCTGTTTTCTTCCTGTGTTGTGTGAGTGTGGGGATGTGTGTGTGTGGGGGGATGTGTGTGAATGTGTGTCTGCCCGAGAAGGAAAATCTGTATCATCAGAGATGGCTGCAGTATCCTCTAATTTTGGTGGGTGGCTGGATGTCTGGTAGTCTGTTTTATATTGTGAATGTTAAGCAAATAAGGGGAAGACGTGAGCTGTAAAAAAAAAAAAAAAAAAAAAAAAAAAAAAAAGCTTTAAAATGAAAAGAAAATGGATATTGGAATCTGACAATTTTGCACTAAAAACATATTCAGACTTTAGAAATGTGGCTCCGTTAAACGCTGACCTGGAAATACTCTACCCTTAGTTGGCTTTTAGTGAACCTTTTGCCTTCAATTTTTCCACACCTTAGATCTATGTATTTTTTTCTTTTTTCTTTAGTTGACTCTTTCAAAGTGCAGAATTGCTAGGATATGGGGATTTATGTTTAGAGCGATCATATTTACTTTCTGTATCCTTTAAAAATTGCAGAATTAATTTTTGGTTCTAAACTCGGTATTTTTCAGTAAACAATATAATATTTAAAAGACTTCTATAGTCTTTTATTTTATAAAATATTCTAAAGATAAAAACCATTTCTCAGTGGTTCCCTTGATATGTATATTGGGCATTTTTATTAATTGAAGGTTTTCTAAGATGGAAATAAAGTTTGCTTTTAGTGGCAAATGGCATTTGCACCAATGTATTTACAAGCTATCTAGGGAAGTTCTGAAAGCCAGTATTCCAAACTTAATTAGAATTCGTATAAAAGTTTTTCATAATAATTTTGAAAATAAGAATCTGTGGAGTTATTAAAAAAATACATACACTAGAATTTTAAAGTGAAATGTACTTATTGACCTTCCTGATGGATGGATACATTTGGATGTATGTGTACGTGTCTATAATTTATATCCATGCAAGCATGTGACTACCCATATATTAAATCTTTTATACTTATTTTTATTAAAATTAGTTGGGGAAAGAAAATAATGGTTTTTGAGAGGAAGCACGTTAAAATAAGTACAGAAAGTTCAAAAGGGTTGAAATGAGACCACTTCCATTTATTTCAAGCCGGTATTTCATGAACTAAGGTATATTGTAGATGAGCTTATACTCTCACCTAAACCCCTAATATTGTAAGATTGTCCCTGCATTTTCCAAGACTTTCTTCATGATGATAAAAACATAGTCTTTATTATTCAGAGTGTGTTTCAGAGAGATTTTTAGTCATGTTGGTCCTCTTTAGTATTAACGGTGTAGCATAATGTGTTATGATGTCCCCACGTGAGGCAATAGGTAAGAAAATAAGGCTGCTGCAAAATAAGGGATTTCACCTTATTATGCAAGTAAGAGTTAGCTATTGCTCTGGGGTTTTTCTCCTTGTAATTTTCAGTAATATAGTAATTAATTATCAGGCACACATCTGAGGGGGGTTGTTGAAATACAAAAAGTTGAATCCTATCACATCTTATTTCCTGGTTTTATGATATATGTATAGTTTGATTACCTAAGTTAACCTATAGTGAAATATAAAAAATAAATATTTCAGTATTGACAAAATGCAGTATTGAATACATTTACAGTATTACATAAATATAGCATATTGAAATACGTTAAAGCTATAATTGTTGGATATATCTTACAAAGATGGATAACTCATTCTTTTTAAGTCTTTTTGTTGTTGCTTTTCAAATTAAAATGTTTGTCTTGGGTATCTGTCCATAGAACTATATTCTGTATGAATATTAATTGATGGCTTTTCCCCAGCTTTATTATAAGATCTCCAGATTTCTCTTATTATGGACTTACTTTTTTGCTGTCCTCATTGCCCATATTCATTGCTTTATGTCTTATTATTACTTTTCAAGATCTTTTTATTTGCCTTGCTCTCTTTACCTTTTATAATATGTTTTAAATGTAGTTACTATTACTGTCATTTTGAAATTTTGAATTTTGTTTATCTTTCTTAAAATATGTTTTGAAAGGAAAATGAATATCAGTAAGAAAGAAAGGCATGTTAAATATTCTTTTCTGTGTGTATTAACATGACATTTTCCTCTATGTTGGTTCTTAAACTAGAAAACATGAAAGGTTATGTTGCGCTTAAGGAATATATATAATGGATATCTATTTTTAAATCCTCATACACTGTTCTCTGGACAAAATATTAGGTGGAAAATTCACTTTTCCAGTCCTGTAAAGAGTAGAAAAAAGTAGAATAGAAGAAACTGTGAAACATTTATTTTTCTATAATATTTTATTTCTAATTAACATTTTAGGCATATAAACATTTAAGATATCTATTAAAATTTGTTAGTTGGACTGGTTATTAAAAAAAAATCTTATTTGTTTTACTTTATAGATGAAAAGAAAGTTGGACCATGGTTCTGAGGTCCGCTCGTTTTCTTTGGGAAAGAAACCATGCAAAGTCTCAGAATATACAAGGTAATATTAAGTATAATAATTGAGTCTCTCCTGATTCTCATATTTCTTTAAAGAGTTAGAGATGATGATTGTTAAAGCATTTTTTCCCCATTTATTCTCATATAATGTCACTAGTATTGTTGACTGTCTAACACATTTTGAGATCATTGAAAATTGGGAAATACCTTATTTTAAATAAGGAGAAAAATGTTTACCATGATAGCTTTATATTTTTTTACAAATACATTGAAGTAAGACACAAGCAGAAGTTCTCTTCTCAACAAAAATTTTAAATCACAATTTTTCAGGAATTCTAAAAAGTAAACCCAGGAATATGAGCAAATGTATCTTGTTACTATAGCAACAACTGTTCTAGGGAGTATATTTATATATGCAAAATAGAAGATACATTTATTAGCAGTGAAATAAGCCTCACAATTACTAACTGAATCATATTTCACGAAATTACTGTGTTAGAAATCCCCTTTTATTTGCTTGGTAGGTCTTGTGTTTTTAACACATACATTTCTACACCAGTAGAATAGTTTCCATAACAACTAAATACAATTGTAGTCTTGTTTCCTGCACCATTCCATCATTTTTTGAATTTTGCATCAGTATAAAACTTCCCACTCTCACGCTAATTAGGCTAAGTTAAGCACAATATCTATTACCTAGCCAATTAAAAATGGCTTTGGATGTCACTTGGAGTGTGGTATTTTAAAATTTAAATGACAAAAGTATCTTAAAAACTTTTTTTGGTCTTTTTTCTTTTTCATAATTGTCATTCTTCAGATAACTGAAAGTTAGCTATAGAAACCATAAGAACTCATGATGGTGACATTACTTTTTCCCTAAATATTTTTATTTAGAATTGTTTTTATTCTATAAGCTGCAGTAAAATTAACTTTGCTCAGACATAAGTTTTTGTGATTAAACATTGTTATAGATTGCATTTTCCTTTTTTAGAGAAATCAGCTTATATTTTTATTTAATTCAGTTGTGGAATATATTTCTTTCAAAAGCTTTGTGAAATCTAGAAATGATAATCATTAGAATAGTTTTATATACAAAAAAATGTGAGGATGATGCAGAAAAGAAAAATAAAGCTCTCTCTTAATTATTCAGGAAATGCTTTTAGTATCATTTTCTCATGTTAACTGTCCCCTTCCCTTTACTTAAAACTCTTTGCCTTTTTACAATTTGACTGTGTTTTTGGTATTTCCACCAGAGGGTGTGGAGTGATGTAGAGATAAGTGAAACCACTCACTTCATTTTTGCTTTTTCCTTCTAGTCTTGATAAAATATTTCCCAGATGAGAAAGTTGAACGTAATGTTAAAAATATACTATATTTTAAAAAAAGTGTATTCCAGTAATCATATAATTTTTTATCTTTTATTAATATGGCTGATACCAGGGCAAAGGTATTAAATTGTTCAGTTATTTTTAAGGCAGCTTATAAATGAATGCTGACTTTTTACTGCAGAACACATTTTAGTTAAATTTGTCTTTACTTGTTTATTTTTATATTGAGAAAGCACCTGAAAAGGTGAAAGTTTTATTTTTAGCCTTTTAACATATGATATTAAAGCAAACCAAACAGCATACCCTATCATTTTGGAAATGTCAGTATATATTTGATATTTTTAAAATTTTTGACAGATTTTCTACTAATAAAATGAAAAAAATTTCCATCATTTTTATTAGAAATTGTAAGTTATAGTCACTATTTAAAAATTGTTTCATTTCAGAGAAGAAAATAGAGCATATCTTTGAAATTTGTCAGAAGAAAAAAATAAATTTAATTATTGAATGTTAGAAATTGTCGTAGGTGTATAATGTTAAAAGATTTAAAGGTGGTAGATTTTTCTGTAAAATCTGGTGACTGGATACATTTTTAAAAACAAAATAATGAGATATGCTTGCTGGAAGAGCATTGGGGAGAGATGTTTTATTAGTAATTTATCAGAGCTTGATATTCAACTATTAGGGTACAACATGTATATTCTTTGGATTAAAAACCCTATTATTATAGCTCAATAAATTGAAGATTTATTGTACAAATGTAACTACTTAACTAAATCTTTCTTTTTTACCTATCTCTAAGAGTTGTTTAGTATTTACCATGAGTTTAAATAATTTAGTTATTGAAACTACAAAGTAAAGTTTAATATATTAATAACAATTATCACATATTTTTTCTAGTTAATCATTTTTAGGAGAGTTGGACAATTTTGGAGATTGATAATCTAGTCTTAACTCCTCATTTTACTAATTAATGATAGAATTGAATTTCGGGTGTTTTAAAAACTGGCTCAAAGTTTATTGGATGAAACTATTTGGGTTATTTCATTTAATTTTGCATATAATAGGTTTTCAACACTTAACTGTTTTAAGTAAATACACTTCTAATCAAGGTTTGCGACTATCATATATTATTTAAACTAAGCTTTATAAATTACAAAAACCAAAGTGAAATAGACAAATGTTATAAATAATTTAGAAGGCATCTGGGGCAAACTCAAGGAACATTGCTAGTGAATGTCCAAAACATTTGGACATACTATTTCTACATTTGAATTTTTTAAAGTATTTGTAAGTCTCACACCCCTTTTTAAATAGAAAATTTTATTTAATGATGTCACTAAGACCAGTCAAAAGAGAAGTAGAACCTGTATCTTATAAGGAAATATTTTAACATTACTTGTATGTATCAACAAGTTGTAGTTTTGCCATAGAGATTCTGTCACTTGGTTGCAATTAGCATTGTTGGGATAATAACAGGTGGTTATGTAGGAGGGAAGAAACTTACTCTAAGAATAGAAGAATAGATTTTATGTATCCTTGCTCTCTGGGCATAAGCAAATAAAAATAATAATTTGATTAATGTTTGAAATATGCCAGATCATAATTCTTATTAAATTTGAACTTGCTAATCTTAATAAATATCTGTCTTTACTTTTACCCCTATATTTTTTATAGTACCACTGGGCTTGTACCATGTTCAGCAACACCAACAACTTTTGGAGATCTGAGAGCAGCCAATGGCCAAGGGCAACAACGTCGCCGAATTACATCTGTCCAACCACCTACAGGCCTCCAGGAATGGCTGAAAATGTTTCAGGTGACATGTCTAAACACAGTACTTGAAATGCTTCACTTAATTGCTGCCAAAAAAAATTAAATAAATAAATAAGAGATTATTCAGCCATGAAAAGGAATTGTTACAGGCTATACCTTAGATGAACCTTGAAAACATGCTTAGTAAAAGAAGCCAGACACAGAAATATAGCATATATTATATGCTATATTCCAGAACAGGAAAATCCATAGAAACAGAGTAGATTGAGTGATTACTAGGCTATGGTGGAGGAGAGGTAGAAAGTAGACTAACTGCTAGTTGTACAGGTTTCTTTTGAGGGTGATGGGAGTGTTCTGGAATTGGATAGTAGTAATCTTTGCACAGCAAGATGGCTGTGCTGGGAACCACTGAAGTGTACATTTAAAATAGTAGATTTTATGTTATGTGAAGAATATCTCAATTTAAAAATGCTATTAAAATAGGGAAGCTCATTTTAATTTTTAAGTGAATTAGTGAGGAGAATACAGTGCTTATTTTATGGAGGTGTGCATTCCCCTTTCTTTATTCCTTTTTAGGTAATAAGACCTTTCTTCCTTCTCCTCTTTATGTTTGGGTTTCTGGGATCACTAAATGTATTTGTGTTCTAAACTGCATTGATTGGAAGTTACTAGTCAGCATTTAGGAGTGATGTGAAGAATAATGTTCCTCTACCTAGTAGCCTCCGAGAGTTGATGCAGCTTCTCTTCACTATGCCATGCTTGTTTGTGGCTCACTGAGTTCAAACTCTGATTACTACATTTTAGTAGCTTTTAAATTTTTTGAAAGTTTACCAGGATGATTAGCTACAACCAACCCTTGAAAATTATGAATTTTATAACTCATGATTCAAGTGATATTACTTGATTTCTCTCTTCTTCCAGTGAGATTATGCATATAAATGACATATTTAGCAAAATAGTTGGCATGGATTAAACACTTGCATAATTATTCTTTTAGATAGTAAATAATATAAATTATGTTAAGTGAAGCTATCTGTGATATTGGCCACCATTCTAATGTAAAATGAATATATTTTCTTACCTAGCTTGATTGGTGGTATTTTATGAATGCATAAGGGAATAAGAGTTGAAAAGAGAATACTTTATTTGACATTTCAGATTTTTAAGATGTCCATTTATGTAAATTCTAATATTTTAAATACCTGGGCAAAAACTAAATAAATGTCCCATTTTTTTTTTTCTTCAACAGCTAGAAAACTCACTTGAAGCAATGTTGCTTTCAAATGGATTTTTTTTTAATTAATTAATTTTTTTTTTTACATATTTTAATGATTTTTTTTGCCCCCCTTCCTCCCTCCCCCATATCCCCTCCCTTCCCATAGTTTTATGTCCATTGGTTGTACTTATATGCATGTATACAAGTCCTTCGGTTGATCTATTATCTCCCCCAGATCCTCCTGAAATAAGCCAATCAATGAAAGAGAAACACCACATGACCTCACTCATTTGTGGATAATAAAGAGCATTATAAACTGATGAACCAAAAGATAGATATAGAGACAGTAAAGCAACAAGCAGATTGTCAAATGGATTTTTAAAAATTGTTTTTTACCCTTCAGATGATTTCAGAGAAAGTAGGATAACCCTCCCATTCAACCACCCCACCACCCTGCCTGTTGGTAAAGGAAAAGTTAGAGCAGTGGTTCTTTTTTTTTTTTTTAAATATATTTTATTGATTTTTTACAAAGAGGGAGAGGGATAGAGAGTTAGAAACATCCATGAGAGAGAATCATCGATCAGCTGCCTCTTGCATACCCCCTACTGGAGATGTGCCCGCAACCAAGGTACATGCCCTTGACCGGAATCGAACCAGTGACCTTTCAGTCCACAGGCCGACACTCTATCCACTGAGCCAAACCGGTTTTGGCAGAGCAGTGGTTCTTGTCAGGGGGCAGATTTTCCCATGGCTAAAACTAATTCAGTTGTTACAACTGCAGGCATGGGGGAGGGCGGGCAGGAGGTTGCTGGCATCTAGTGGGTAGAAGGAATTTAAGGATCTGCCCCCTACACAGAGTTATCCCTCCCCAAATGTCAGTATTGTCAGGTTGAGAATCTATGGTTAGAGGAATCAAAAATATATTTTATTGTATGAACCACTACAATTATAAACAATTGTGGTGTGTGGTTTAGTGTTTTTCTTTTTCATTTTCATTTATTGATTAAATTTATCTTCCCCCAAGGTTTATCCTTCCCCCTCCTCCCAGGTTCATGATTTAAACTTAAAAAAAAAATTTTTTTTTATATGCATACCCCCAGAGTTTAATTTTTTTGTTGAATCCTTTTCAAAAGAAAATTATCCATCAATAAGAGGTAAAAATAGAACTTAGACATTAATATAATCTTAAAGAAATACTTTAAAGATTTTTATTGTCTCTAATTAACTGACAAAATAGGAATATGGGTGTGTGTGGTTATATCTGCGCACACATGCAGTGTGAGCAACACAGCACTTGAGAGGAGTGCAAAAACTGATTTCATCAGATTTTTATACGTAACAACATGATCAAAGATTATCATCAATGTAGACAGCTTCCAAATAGTTATTTTATATGAAGAACTTTATTTCTTACGAGAAGGTAGTCCAGAGTAAAATTTAAAATGAGGATGGGTTCATTTTTTCCAATATTTAAAAGTATTCTTTGCTAGCCATTTAGGCTTGCCTAATTTTTAATGGAACTTTCTCAAATACTGGTCTATATACTAGGGAACATTTGTGCATTATTTTGCAAAGGACTGTTTTAGGAAGTCCTTTGTATGGTATTTGCTTGTTTAGATAGCTCAGGCTTTATTTAATGAAATGTCCACATTACCACATACTGTATGTCAGCAAATCTGAGATACAATTGATTGTTAGATGCATGGCAACTTCAAAAATGTTAGTATTTTTTAAAAAAAAGCTTGTTTCTTAGAATTAATGAGACTCAGAAAACTAAAGAATATTAGACTACCTTTGTTCAATAAAAAGGCCCATTTGATCGCTTTTTACATGAGAAGTAGATTCAATGAAGAAAACTTGTTCTTAGTTAATAGGAATTACACCTAGAATTGTCCCTGTAGGTATCGTACTATTTTATTTCAGACAAATATTCTGTAGCAAAGATACCCACTAGCAACCAAAGGTCAACTAGACAGATAGATCAGGACCTTGTCTGTCTCTGACACACCCAGGGCCTCCTTGTCATTTACTGCCCTTTATTTTCAAGGCCGATGCCAAAGTAACTAGAAATGAATCACTTGCCTAAGGACTTATAATGCTTTAATGCCTAACTGGCAGACAGATACGATTTCATAGTAAGGTGGGGGAGTCATGAGTTGACCTATGTTGGATAGTTGAGGGATAATTAGCCTGGCATGATTTCTACAGACATGCTATGGGGGCATTTAATGATGACTTTTCTGTTGCATAACAAGTAAAATGGGAGAATTTGTCCCCTCACTGTTCAGTTATTGCTCCTACAGCAGTGATACAGCATTGTTTTGGTCCAGTTCCATCTATTCTGACAAAGTATTCTGTACTCAATTTATAAATTGAATGAGAACAAATGACACACCATTTTGTATAAAGGGAAATTGAAACAGAATGCTCCTGCAAAATAGCAGTGCAAATTAAAAACAAAACAAAAAAACCTCAGAAATTTTGTACTGTTTGAGTTTTCAGTAGCCATTGATTCTGCTTGCTTTGGCAGCCAGATTGATGCTTTACAATGTAATTTCGGGAAAAAGAAAAAAAAATGTACTGTTGTTTATGTCGTTTGGGTGTTAATAAATGGTTTCTCTTGAAATTTTTAGCCTAGGTAAAGACAACAATAATGTCAACATTTTCTTAGGTTGAAATTTATGTTCAAAGGCATCCTGATAGAATGAGAAGCACATATGATTTAGAAGAAAAGCTCTTAGTACAAATTCTGGCTTTGCCTTGTAATAACTGAGTCATTTTGTTAATATTATATAACCACTCTTGCCTTTATTTTTATCCTCTGAAGAATAGATAGAACACTAAAAATTGTCAAAAGGGAGAAAACATGTAAATGTGCTTAAGCTATACTTGAAAATACAGTGCAGAGTCAATAAAGATTAGTTTCCTCTCTTGGTCAGTAAATAGCTATTGTGAGCCTCAGTTTTCTCAGGTCTAAATGGGGCTGTTAACATTCTCTTCATAGGGATGCCATTAACTTAACATTATTAATATTATTTTAATCAAAGTATATTTGCATTGCATTGAAACTGTAAATGTCTTTTGAAAATACCTGTTATATACCAAAAATACTTTTTAAAATTATAAAGTAGAAAACACTTCTGTGTTTTGAAATTAAAAGTAGAGTAAAAACTATTCTATTGAAGGACTTAATCAAGTTTCATGGTAACATTTAGAACTTGTGCATACACTTTCTAACTTAATTATTTAGATCTTTTTTTAACAGTCAGCAAAATACTAAAGCAGGAAATGAATTCAGTATTACTTTGCAATTGTATTTGAAACAATATGATCAAAAACCTTGTTGTGTGAGGAGAAGTTAAAAAGGCCAGAGAAAAGTGAAGGAAAAATGTTGTGTGTAACATTTTGTAGAATTTTGTATAAAAAATAGGATCAAGCTGATTCTTAGTATTTTCAGAAAACAAAACCTGGATCATATTCTTTGAGTCAGAGTTTGATATAAGTTGAAGTTAACAATTAGAACTGACCCACTGTAGAATGGGAAATAGTAAGCACTCCAGTCCAAGAACTGGAAACATAATGATAACCATCTGCTGAAGGAACTAGCAAAGGGAGTTCACTCCAGTACTGTCCAAAGTCATAAAATATATATCTGATTGGATGCTTAGGGTCATCCAGGTGTTAGTTTCACTGCTGGTGTGTGAATCCTCTGCATCAATCCTGGATGAATTATTTAAAACATAAAATGTCCCCAGAACATTGACCACTGGATCAGACGCTTTGATGGTGGGTTGTAGGACTCTATGATTCTTGCATTCCTCAGCCAGCATTTGCGAACCACTGGTCTGGACCAAGCCCCTCATTATACAGGTGGGGTCTCTGGGACTGAGACTAATTATGAGGCTTCCAAGTAGTTCCATTGTGAGTTTGCTGGTGAAATTCAGGCCCCTGATGATAGTTCAGTGTTCCTTCTGTTCTTCTCTGCTACCTGTATTCTCTAATTACCTGAAATAAAATATCACTTACATGGGGAATTTTCAAGTCAGCATTTGCAGTTTAGTCCATAAATTAAATTTTGTGTCTCGTGAACCTTTCTGAATTTGGAATGTTTTTCCTGTCCCCTCCGATATGTTTCCACATAACTTCACCATGAAAGACAAAAGGAAGATATTTGTTTCTTTTCCAGGATAACTACTTTTCAGAACAGAAATAAAATAATCATTATCAGACTTACCCAACACTTTTGCAGATAAAGAAACTTTTCTAAGGCTGCAGAAATTAAACTGTAACTTAATTAGTGACAGTGTCTCCTCCAAAAGTTGGATTTTCTAACCCCCAATTCACTATTCCTCATTAAAGGTCAGTGTGGGTTATTATTTTATTCTAATATAGTTATTAACTGCAGTGTTTTCATATTTCCCCTTTCTGCTTACAAAACTTGCACCCAGTCTTGGAAGTAGACTAAGTAGGCAAGTTCTAATAATACCATCAAATATAAAGGATAGAAATGTTCCAGAGAGAGTGTTGAGATAGTGTTGGTGCAGTATTTCTTGACTTTGGGGTTTCATTCATTGATTCAGCAAATATTGTATTTATTGAGTACCTGTTAGATACTAGGCCCTACTATGGATCTGGGCTACAATAGTTAACAAAGAAGGTCCTCCCCATCCCTGACCACCCCACCCAACCCTCCCTCCCACTCCCCAAAAAAGAAAACAGTTTTGCAGAACACTGTAGTCAGGAGAACAATATATTTTAGGGCTTAGAACTGGTGTGCAGTCTTAAAGAGGTTGCCCTGAGAAGGACCTATGGAGCAAGCCATGTGGGTATCCAAGGGAATAATGTCCTAGGGAACAGCATGTGAAAAGGCTCTGACGCAGAGCATGCTTGGTATGTTTGAGGCACAGAAAGCATGTTTATGACTAAAGTAGAGTAAGGAAAAGAATAGGAAATTACAGCCTTGTAGGTTAACCCAAGACTTTGGGTTTTGCTTTGAGTGAAGTGGGCCTGGAGGGTTTTAAGCAGAAGAGTAAGTGCCTTTTAACAGTGCCACTGACCACTTTCTGGAGATTAAAACAAGGAGGGCAAAGGTGGGAAGCTGGGAGGCCAGGTAAGAGGTTTTAGGTATAATCCAGGTGAGAGATAATAGTTTAAGCCAGTGTGGTAACAGTCAAATTCTGGATATGTTTTGAAGTTTAAGGCCTTAGAATTCACAGATGGATCAGAACCATCTACCAGTGAGAGTTGGGGAGTGAGGAGGAGATGGCTCCAGAGTTTCTAGCCTGAGCAGCTAATAGAGTTACATTGCACTGAAATGGGATTGTGGTGTGCATATTTAAGGAGAAAGGTCATGGAATGCCAGGTTTCTGTTACATATCCAACAATACATGTTGAGTAAGCAATGTTATATACAGGTCTGGAGATCAGGGAGAAATCCAGACTGGACAGAGGAGAGCTGCCTATGTGGTCCAGACTTTTACTTAAGATTTGTGAATCTAAACAACTAGATTGTTGAATATGTCTGGTCAGTAGGAACAGTCTCATTTACTATGTAGTTTAATAGCGTACATTACCAATCTTTCTAGGGTATATTTTTTAGTAAAATGTCACAAAGTAACACTTGCTAAATGTAAGGTATCATTTAAATGAAATATAATTTTAATCTTATCTGATTTGTAAAATCAAACAGTATTTAACACAAAATAAAAATATAGCTTAAAGTATTAGAAACATTTTGCTATGAGGCCTAACTTTTGTCATGGACTCTGCCTTAAATATATAGAAATTTTTAATACAGTGTCTAACATTTACCTAAAATTTGAATTACCGTATTTTTCGGACCATAAGACGCTCCGGACCATAAGACGCACCAGTTTTTAAGAAGGGAAATGAAGAAAAAAAGATTCTGAAACAAATAGTGTCCTAAAATATTTTATGTGCATTAAAACCCAACATCACAGTCATAAACACATGTAATCAACCCTGTAAAGTAAACAGCAGCATTTAGAACCATTTTAGAGCCGGGCAAGCACACAGAGACCACACAGAGCCGGGCAAGTAAAAAAACTTTTTTTTAAAGTATATGTGTAGGCTATATTTGGACCATAAGACGCAGGGACTTTCCCCCCCTACTTCTGGGGGGAAAAAAGTGCGTCTTATGGTCCGAAAAATACGGTAGTTATTTATGTTCTATTCTGGCTTTTTTCATTTTATACCCCATCTCCTAAAATCTTTAATAAAAGCTATTTTTTTTTCTTCTTTTTAGCAGTCGTATTCTCTGTAGAATTTAATTTTTATATTCCTTTCTTTTTAAATATCATAATAATATATAATATAAAATTCTAAATCATATATATATATTATATATATATTATATACATCATATGTATATGCCTGCTTTAAAATATTCTTAGTAATGTTTATGGTTAAATTTTAATATAAAATAAAGATATCCTATGTAAAATAAAGAAAAAAACACTAATCATATATGGTATGTTACTTTAAATTAGAATTATTCATAGTAGCTATAAATGTAGTTAAAATATATTGTATATAAAGTAGTAATACTTGAAATAATTTCACTGTCCTTTTGCTATAGAGAATTACATAGGATATCTTTATTTTTATATTAAAGTTCAACCATAAACACTACCAAAAATATTTTTAAAGCTAGTATATATATATATATATATATAATACATATATAGTATATAATATATATGAGATTATAATTTTATATTAAAATTATTCTATTATCAAGAGAATAAATTAAAGTTGCATTTTAATTAAATCAGCATAGTTATTCTTTATCCAAAATGGGTATCTCCTTATGCTAGTGTCCATGAATCTTTATAATGTAGACAGAGAGGAATCATATATAAAAAGCCACCTCAAACTTGTGAGCAATGTAAATCAATGAATCAGTGTTTATAGTATTGATACTAATTGTTCAGAGATGAGTAGAGATTGGTCAGTGTAAGTTTCATCAAGAGGTTAGTTTTGAACCAGTATTTAAATCTGTGTGAGGGAAACTGAACAAAAGAAATCAAACTTCAAATTAACTACTTTTAATTGGTCATGCGTGGGCATATACATGTATGTGAGTATTTTTAATTTTATGTATGAATCCTCACCCTAACCTAAAGGCTACAAGGTGAGTACTCAAGGACAATGGTCTGGAGGTGTATGTATAGAAGTGAAAAGAAAGGATAAGGTTTATTAGATAGAACCTGTGTTTTCTCATATTTGATGATCAAATGGGGATAGTTCCCAGGTTTTTATAATGGTCAAATGGGATAATATTGTGAAAGGTACTCTGGAAGTAATACCGAAATGTTTGATAGTATCAATATAACATACACTTTATGATAAGAAAAAGAGATGATATTTATTTTAGAGTCCACATAAATATTTTTAAAAATGAAGTGTTCTATATAAGGCTTCCTGTGTCCTCAGTATATCTCAGTTTTCAATTATTGTCTATTTCACATATTACAAAATGCAGGTTCCTTTTGAAATAGAATTATTTCTTACCCTCTTTTATTCTTTGCTCATATTCTAAGTTTAATACTAAGTTAACTACTATTTTCTAATGTTTTCTTTTTTTATCTGAAATTATTTTTTACATAATTTAATTTGTTGAAGACACTTGTCAGATGTGCAGTATCCAGTTACTAATTTTTCTTTCAATGTTGCTGCTTGTCTCCTCAGATGAGTGAAATCATCTATCAAAATTCCCTATTTATTCAGTAACCCAAATTGATGTTTGTGAATAAAATTTTGGTTTCTAAACCAGTATCTTGGTGGTAGATGAATATATAACAATTATAATTATGTAATGCAAAAATATTTTTCCATCAAAACTATGACATTTTTAAAAAGTTTTTATAAAATGAAAGTATGTGGTACATTTGATAAGACTAAATGATTATCATGTCATTGCCTGCTGGAGAATATGTCACTGTAAGCAGTTTTTTTTCTTTATGTTGTATGTAAATGAGGATTTTTCTTTATTTTGGGATGTATGAAAATAATAAAATTTTCTAATTCCTCTTTGGTAGAGCTGGAGTGGACCAGAGAAATTGCTTGCTTTAGATGAACTCATTGATAGTTGTGAACCAACCCAAGTAAAACATATGATGCAAGTGATAGAACCCCAGTTTCAACGAGACTTCATCTCGTTACTCCCTAAAGAGGTAAGGGTGATCGCTTATATTCTTCCTTTTGTGCTATTTGAGAATGTAACAGTTACCACCTTTAAACATTATCATCCTTTGGTATCCAGTATTGACAGTTTAACACTGTTAATTAGCACTAAAGAGGGCTGTAAATGAGAACCTGCCATGAATTAATAATATAATTTTCATATTAATGTATACTTATGGACTGAATGACTTCTTTCTACCCCTGGAATAAGTCATTTATGGGAATAAGCAATTGAATTTCATTAATTTGATTGTTTCTTACCAAGATTTTTTTCTCAGGTTATTTGAAACCCAATGTTTAGTTTTCTTGGTATGTTCATTATAGTAGTAGACTTTTTAAAAATACCGATTTTATTAAAACAACAATATTTTTTTTGGTTGTTTGTTTATCCTAAGTCCCTTTGAAAGTGATAATTTTGTGATTCTATTGGAATTGTGATTTTCTGTTACTTACATTGTGTAATTATATTGAAATATATGGAATTTCACATGTATGTCTTTTTCTACTAATCATCCCACTTTTCACCCCCAACTCACTCTCTCTCTCTCTCTCTCTCTCTCTCTCTCTCTCTCTCTCTCTCTCTCACACACACACACACACACACACACACTTATGGATTCCCATGCCAGTTGCATTCTTATAGCACACACACACACACACACACACACACACACACACACACACACTTATGGATTCCCATGCCAGTTGCATTCTTATAGCATTTCTTTTGGAATTAAAAAAATGTATTTTTAGAGAGATAGGAAGGGAGAAGGATAGAGAGAAACACTGATGAGAGAGAAGGGAGAAACATTCATTGATTGCCTCCTGCATTTCCCCTACTGGGAATCAAGCCCACAATATGGGCATGTGCTCTGACTGGGATTCAAACCTGTGACCTCTTGATTCATGGGTCAACACTGAACCACTGAGACAGATCAGCTGGGCTCTTTTGGAATTTTGTATGCCTACCAGTTTTTGACTTTATGTAAGCCGACACTATTTTTTAATCATAGATTGATTATGATCATGTGGGTATTCTTGACTGTATAGATGAGGCATATTTTAATTATAGTTTTTATTGATCTTGTAGGCTACATAGTTGCATTTTTGTCAGCAAAGAGAAATAGTATACCACTAAATAATCAATGTCATATTTTCACAAAGTATATGTTTGCCACTGACATGTAAATTAAGAAGGCTAATATGCTGTTGCAAATGATCCTTAAACTTTAAGTTTGAAGAGAAGCAGTCTGTTTTTTTGAGTTGGTTTTTTATTTTGTTTTGTTTTCAGATAACCATTCTGAAAATATCTCAAAGGCATTTAAGAAAGTCTCAATAATAATTTCATATTATATATGAATGAAATAATTTCATTGTATTTAATGTACAGCATAATTTCAGGAAAAAGCAAAGTAGGAAAAGCACCTCATTCCTGAAATGTTCTTTAGAGTTTTTTTTTGTTTGTTTGTTTGTTTTTAAATGACATTCTCCCAGAAAAAAAACTTTCATTCTTGCTGGTTCATTCTAAAATGAATCCTTTGAATAGATTTGGCTTATGAAAGTGACATAAGCCCTTTTTGCCTCTAGAAGGATATTAATAATAGGAGACGCTTTTTGATAAGTATTTAACTGAAAGTGAATTTATTCACCTTTGATATACACGTCATAGTTTCTTTGATTTTTATTTTATTTTAGAAGGTAGTATTTTTTGTTGAAGATAGACTTTCTCTTGGTCTAGTTTTTCCCCTTATCTCTGAGAATGGTGGATTTTTGTTTTATCTTTATTTGTATTTCTACTTTTTAACAAAAAGTTGATTTTAACAAAACTGTGATTTTTAAATAAGAACGGATTTTTAAGAGTCTTAAGAATTAAGCACAAATAAAACTTTTTGGATTAAGTGTTCAAGATTTCCTGAGGAAAAAGAAGTGAGGCTATGTTGGGGATTAAGAGTGAGCCCAGACTTAGAATAGCATCTATGTTCCCCCTCTTTTTTCCCAAATACTAAGAAAAAAAAATTTCTATTTTGAAAAATGCTTTATGTTATATGTGAAGAAATCCTTTATAATAAAAGCCTAATATACAAATTGTCCCCTCCACTGGGAGTTCAACCAGGGGGTGGGCTGGCCATCCAACCACCCATGACCCCTCTGCCTGGCCGGCCTGGCCTGTTGGGGGCGGGCCAGCCAAACCCTACCTGTGCACAAATTGGCGCACTGAGCCTCTAGTAATGGTATATGTCCTTAAGAAAATGAATATTATTTTATTAGAGATTAAGTACTATCATTATTTAAAACATTTTCTTCATGTCAGGAAATGGACATATAATTTATTACAATTTATTTAAACATCTCAAAGTTCTTTACCAACATTTGCTTATTAATCTCAAAAACCTTGCCAAAACCCCACTAGTCTCACTTGAGAGGCTTATGATAAACAGCATTATCCTTATTTTGTAAAAGTATGGTGATATAATAGATGGTTTAAAACAAACCTAAATTCTTAACTTAGCCACTATTTTCTTTATTCTTTATTTTTTCACTAATTTAATCCACTGAAATATAGCAATTCTGGAAAGGTATTAGCTTTTATATAGCTTATACAGAAAAACAAAAAAAAGCAACTCTCATTGAAATTAAAAATATGAGCAAGGAGAGGTAATTACCTGAAACAGACTATCAATTTAATAGCACCTATCTGGTGGAAGTGGTCCTTTTAGAAAGAATACCTAATCTAGATTTTACCTTTAAGACAAACAGATAGAAAACTACATTAGCTAGACCATGCCCGTTCTCTGTCCCCTATAAGGAACCTCACATGACAAATCTTTGCTTGCTTGAGGAACTGGTATATTTCCCCATAGCCCACACTAAGAATTGTGTAAGTAATTGCTGTTCTCTGTTTGCTTGACAATTTAATTTAAAGACCATATAAAATATTGTTGCCAGCATATTTGTGTTCTACTTTATCCCTAACTTAAACCTTCTTTTCTAATTTATATTTTTTCTGCTTCTGATTTTTTCATGCATATTTTCCCATTTTGCTGTGTGCATTTTCTGTAATACCTAGATGTTTTCATGGAACTGGCTAGATATAAATAGAAAAACATTTACTACATTGAAGTTCATGGTTGAGTTCCTTTGCTATTTTAAAGTGTGCCCCTTACCTATGGAGTTAGCACTTCAACTTTCTTTAGTACATGAATATTTCTTTATATTTATCTGTAAATGCATGCACACATAGGCCTAGATGACCTCTTAGTCACTAGTAACAAAGGAACTTTTACCCGTTGACTTTGGGATATACCAGCGATTTTCACCCTTTTTCATCTCATGGCATACATAAACTTCTTTCTAAAATTTTGCAGCACACCAAAAAAAAAAAAAAAAAAAAAAAAAAGAGATATTTTTTGCTGCTCTGACCAAAAAATAGGCATAATTTTGATTCATTCAAACCAGATTGCTATTATTGTATTAGCTGTTATCATTTTTTTATTTGACAATGTAAGGGAAAATAGGTCAGTGCCCCTAACTAGTCAGGTATTGCATGTTTTAAAAATTCTGTGGCACACTAGGTGCCTGCCATAGCACACCCATTAAAAATCTCTGGGATATACCTTTGATATCTGAGCTACTCTGGATTTGTTTCCTAGCCTTTAAAATGGAATATTTCATTAAATTATTCGATTTCTACTCAGCTAGAAAACTAAAGCAAAGAATAGACCTTTTTTCACATGACCATTCTAAAAACCTTGTGTATCTTTTACACAAATATAATTTTGTTCCTAATAATTTCTGTGTTAAATATCAGTAATACATAGAAAATTAATAATGTGGTATCACATTACTGTTATGCTGACTCAAAGCAAAGTTGCCTAGGCTTTGATAGATAATTTCAAAATTAAGTGGCTTATGAAGTATTCATTAAAAAACTACATTGTTGATCTGTACATACATTGTTGAATATAGTTATACCTTATTATTTTAAATGATTCCGTTTCTGTTTATGGTACTGGAATATCTTTTCTGACAGACCAAAAATAATTATTCCACAAAGTTTTCTACTGTCATTAGTCAATATTGGTAGTAAATTAAATACTGACTAGTTGAAGTATTCTCTATATAGAATGTACTCAGTAAATTTGTGATTAATGATGGAACTCCATACATACAAATTTATTGGGAAAGCTTAATTTATATCATGTAATTTTTATCTAGCATTAAAAAATAATTCAAATTGTACTTTTACTTCTTTATGTGGCCTTTGGCCCTTTAAATGGTAGTTTGTTTTAATCCTTGTAATTTAATTTATATGAAAACTAAATTTTGTTGCTCTGTTTATTTTTTTATTGCTCTGTTTAGATCATTTTTCCTACTATTATAATTTAGTTTCTGTGTGATTTGTGTGGCTAATTGAATAAGCATACTCAGAAGCTTTCATCCCCCCTTCTTTTTTTTTCTTTTCTTTTTCCATTTCCTTTATTTTAAATGACTTTACACAATGAAAAAGAAATTGATGATTTGCAAGTATTGGAAATAAAAATTTTAAATCTATAAAGAGCTGGCCCACCAAGAAAATCCCCTTAAGCGATGCCAAATAATTAGCACCCAATTACTTTTGTGTGTCTATGGAGTTTGGTAATTGTCCCCTTTTGTCACATATAAGTAAAGGGTGGAAATGTGTGAAAAGTTCATCATTGTGCTAATAAACACTTTGAGGTTATAAAGAACTATTAATTATATCTATCAAAAGTGATCTCAAATAATATCATGCAGAATATAAAGAGATCTTATTTCTTACCTTATATCCTGTCTTGGGTGAATTTATATTGTCCTGGGGAGATAGAGAAGACAACATTTAAATAACTAATAAAATAGGTAAGTGGTAGATAAAATTGAGTTGAGAGACAAAGCAAAGGCAAGAGCAGAGGGTGGAGGTTTAATAATTATTCCTTGAAGAGGTGAGGAGTTAATGGAGTGAAGCTCATAAATTAGAAATTTATGAAGTTATAAATTAGAATGTAGAATTGCATTACATTTATCTATAAGTGCTTTCCCCATAGAGAATACATATTATTTTTATGTATTTGAAAATATGGATATTCTATGCTTTTTCTTTCCATAGTTGGCACTTTATGTGCTTTCATTCCTGGAACCCAAAGACTTGCTACAAGCGGCTCAGACATGTCGCTACTGGAGAATTTTGGCTGAAGACAACCTTCTGTGGAGAGAGAAATGCAAAGAAGAGGGTAAGGTTTCCATAGGGAACATGTTCGAACTCTGAAAAAGCTAAGTGATTCTGAAAACAAATGGAAAAGCGTAAGTTTTATGTGCAAGTAGAATAAAGTGATGGGTAAATGGAAAAAGAGAACTTTTGGCAGTCTATCAGGGAATCAAAAATGAGTGTTCATCTGCATGCACCTACTTACATAAAATCCACAGGTTATTCCACATGTTCAAGTGAGTCAAATCTTGCAGCTAATCCCTTTAAAGAACACTATAACTCATTGCAAGTGTATGAAAAAGTCAAGATGAAGATGACTTAAAGGAAATCCAAAGATATATTAGCAATTAAATACTCAAATATTCTATATTCTCTTTGTTCCTCCATAAATATTTTTTGGACACCTCTTATGTTTAGTGTTTTTTGAGGAACCACCATACTATTTTCCATAGCAGCCACACCATTTTATATTCCCACAAGCATTGCATTAAGGTTTCAATTTCTGTACTTCCTCACCAACATTTCATAGAATCATTTTGAGAAAGAAAGGAAATTGTTGATATAAAAGAGCACCATACAAAAGACAAACTTTACATTATTTTGTTTTGTAAAACAGTGTTAGAAATTAGACAATGCCTGCATGGTGGTTTTCAGCATGGGGGGGAATGAGGTACATTATAAAATGTGTAATATTTATTATTGATGAAGGCAATGATACTCTTTAACTCTTTAAAACTAGGTATTGATGAACCATTGCACATCAAGAGAAGAAAAGTAATAAAACCAGGTTTCATACACAGTCCATGGAAAAGCGCATACATCAGGCAGCATAGAATTGATACTAACTGGAGGCGAGGAGAACTCAAATCTCCTAAGGTAACTGAACTCGTGCGCAGTGTAACAGAATCCATTAATCAGTGTTAGTTCCCACTGTGTTTTATAACTTGACACCTATTTCCAGAAACAAAGAAAACAATGTATTTTAAAATAACTGTAAGCATAACTGACAATATTTTTCTATTGTGAATCTCTTTAGTCTGACAACTCATTGTCTTGAATAAAAGATGAGTTGATTGGTATTTGGTTCTTATGTCAAGGAAAAATTTTCTGACTATCCTGTTGAATTTTGTGTCATATACATTCCACCTAAGAATTTGCTCCCTCTCTGACCATATAGTCTGAATATGATTTTTGAGGAGTGCCTATATTTTGGTTTTGTGGCTTTTGTGTTTCATTTTTTAAATTTAACTTCTGATTTTTTAACATGACATTTCAAGTATACAAAAAATAGCAAAAATGCCTAAAATTCTAAGCAATTTGGGGAGATACTCTTCTATTCCTATGCATACATTATGATGGGCTTTTTATGTTTTGAGTTAAAAAATTGATGATTATTCTTGTCTTCCTAGTTAATAGGTGCTTTTGTTTTTGTGTGTCAAATTGTAAAACTTACATACATATTCTTTTGGTTTGAACAAGTAAAATAGATGACTATAAAATACATTTGGGTTTGAACCATCCTTATGAGATCTTGACCCAGTAAAATTATAACAGTTGATGTCTCAAGTATAAATAATAGGTATGGAAACAACAAAAAGTTTAATACTTGATTATCAATGAGGGTTGATGATGCTTCATATTTCATGTAAACTTTAATTCTAGAAATAGACTACAGATTACTGTTCCTATTTATGGCTTCATTTTTTCTTTTCACCAGTATTTTAAAAGACATAATTTTGTAACATTTCTAACTTATACCTCTACCTCCTAGGTGCTGAAAGGACATGATGATCATGTGATTACATGCTTACAGTTTTGTGGTAACCGAATAGTTAGTGGTTCTGATGACAACACTTTAAAAGTTTGGTCAGCAGTCACTGGCAAAGTAAGTTTACTTCTCTCTGCACATCACAAAGTCACTGTTTTGTGTATATCTTTGCAAAGATCAGCCAGTGAAAGGAAAACAAGAACTAATTTTTGTCTCTAGCTTATTTTAATAGCAAATATCAGAGCTTCTAATTTAGCTTCTTCCTTGGTGTGAAGATGATGTTTCTCGTGATAGGAATGTTATTAGTGTCTTCTTTATTTAAATAGTTTGTCTCTGTGACATACCTATTAAGATTTTAGAGTTGTACTTTATCATTTTCTTGTCTTAATTTTTCCCTCCTTTCTAACAGTTTAAATTATATCTTTCTTCCTTTTTAATCTTTTTCAAAACTATGATTGAGGGATATTTGTTTTTCCTTATTCAACTGCTTTGTTGATAACCTACTTAGAGTTTAGCAGTTATACATAAATTATGTTAATTTAGACTTATCTTAAGCCCTATGAGATGGAAGGTAAGCAGACCAGGTATTAAATAGGAGTTTGATGAAAAAAGCAGTCCAAGCAATCAATTTCCCTTAAACAATATTATATTTTAATGTGTCTCCAGTGAAGACTTATATTTATCTGTCCAATGGAGAATATTTTTATGAACTGACAACCTAAAAATAATGGAAGAAAGTATAGGGACAAAAATCTGTCTTTTAAAATGTTTTATCACATGTTGTTTCTTGGGCAAGAGTCTTCTAAATATTCCAAGTTAGATGTTAAAAATTTTTAAAGTAGCTTCATATTTCCACAGTTTAATGTTAGTTTTGGATTGACTTTAGGGCTTTAATGTCTGTCTTTACTTGTCTAGAAGAAGTACCTTACCTGGCTCTTAACTACTGCCTTGTGGCAGATTGAGATGGAATGTGGTATGTAGCCACACCCAACACCATCGGCATTCTTTCATTGAATCCACTCCCATGAACAAAACCAAATTGCAATTTTAGTATTATTTCATCAAAGAGGCCAGGCTGGAGCTTTTATACTCTAATGATAACTGTTTACTTTCTATGTACTTGTTCCTCAGTTGTGTGTACATATATAATATGTAGTGCTACTTAATAATAATTAAAAAAAGCAATAAATAGCAATGGGGTCATATTATACTGATGTGAGAAATTATTTTCTGATATGCCAAATAATCCAATTGAGTTAATATAACTTTACTCCAAATTTTAATGAGCTACTGAAATGTTATTTAAATCATTTTTCTTTCTACCCAAAAGTAATCATCTTAAGTGTTTTTCCAGTGTCTGAGGACATTAGTGGGACACACGGGTGGAGTGTGGTCATCACAGATGAGAGACAATATCATCATTAGTGGATCCACTGATCGGACTCTCAAAGTGTGGAATGCTGAGACTGGAGAATGTATACACACCTTATATGGGCATACTTCCACTGTCCGTTGTATGCACCTCCATGAAAAAAGGTGAGGGAAACGCCCATTGTGGTTGGGAATTCCTCTTCTGTCACTTGTGAATTTGGAGCCTTTTGTGTAGAGTTCAAGTTATATAATACTTAAACTGTGTCTAATAAAGAGATAGCAATAATGTGCTCTTATATTAGACTTCAATGATTAGATTTTGGGTGTTTCTGTACTAAGAAAGCAGTAGTGTATTGGCTTACAATTGGAAGGTTATCTTTACATTTCCTTTTTCATTTATTAGTGTTGTTCGTTTCCTCCTTGAAATTCTCTACTCTTGAATAACATCTGTATTTCTCTATACCTCTAATGACTCATCATCTTTAAAAAATATCAGTTTCTTTTTCTTTTTTCTCTTATATTTCTGCTAGTGGGACAGATTCAGCTATTCAGGTTTCAAGACTCCAAGTCTTTTTAATTATGTACCTACCGTACCCTCACTCCATCATACTCCCTGTATCTAGGCAAAAGCTGAGGCCTGCGGTTTTTAACTTATTCTCTCATTACCTATCACCTGAATTATTCACACAGTTTTCAGACCTGGTCCTCTGTTGTCTACCAAATCAAGGACATAATCCTCAATTAAATTTTCAAAATTATTTCATCAAATCAGACTGCTTTCTTTTTCCCCCTCAAGTGCCTTTTCTGTTTGTTTATCTCCTCCTACAAAGCCCTCCTATTTAAAGTCCGTTCTGTCTTCTATTGGCATGTCTTCATGGTAACCCCACCCCCACTCCCATCAAACAGATGCGACTTCTATTCCATTTGTCAGAACAGGTCTTTATGAAGGGTCCTTTTAGTGTCTCTATTCCAGTCCTTACCTTTAACTCTGCCCATACCATCTTCTTTATTAAGAACCATAGCATTGAGCACATTTCACACTAGATTGGTAATATGTGAAGAAAAAGTATCTTTTCCATTGTAATTTGAGTCTACTTTGAACAATGTACTCGACAACTAAAATTTAGGGCATTGTTATGAAGAGACCTTGCCTTTTAATTTCTATTAGTTCTGACTTAAATCTCTCAGTGATTCCATTTTCTATTCTTCCAAATGTGGTGGCCTTTCTTTTTTTCTTAGGAATGATATAAATATGCCTATTGTTTTCAGCTCTCCTTTGTAATCCAGAGATGGTTTCAGTCTTTGTATCACTCTGGTCTTCAGAAGAGTGTAACTTCAATAATGTTGGGCCAAATTTTGAAGGAGTTTATGTTGCCTCAACATATGTGTCTTCTAAAATCTGTATATTATAATGCCCTATATAGCTGTTGAATACTTAGAAGCATATGCAGCCTTTGAGGACATGTCTAAGACTGGTTCATTTTACCTGTATGTAGGCTGTAAAGCACATACCTTTTAAAACACAATCCAGTAGTTTTCAGACTGTCCCACAGAACCATTATGAGTTGCTTGATCTCTCACAGGTGGAGAACCAAACCAGCCAAGTCTAGGTTCCTCAACTTCCCATCCCAATCAGAGTAACTCAACTTTCTTATTTTTATATATCAGGGTTTTTACATAGGAGTTTTTTAAAAAAATACTTGAAAGAAAGAAAAGGTTTAATAATCACTGACTTTATATATAATGCTTTTTCATATTATTAAAAATTGTAATACTTTTTTTTCTTTTCTGTTTTCCTTCCTACAGAGTTGTTAGCGGTTCTCGAGATGCCACTCTTAGGGTTTGGGATATTGAGACAGGCCAGTGTTTACATGTATTGATGGGTCACGTAGCAGCGGTTCGCTGTGTTCAATATGATGGCAGGAGGGTTGTTAGTGGAGCATATGATTTTATGGTGAAGGTGTGGGATCCAGAGACTGAGACCTGTCTACACACGTTGCAGGGGCATACTAATAGAGTCTATTCATTACAGGTAAGAGATCTTATCCCTCCTACCCCTTAGATGCTCCTCTGGTGAATCACAAGATAGTTTTACTCAGATAACCACTGTCAAATTGTTGATCAAATGTAGTCTAAAAAAGACTGATCAGATTACCTGTTGTTTACATGTACTTTGAAATTAGCATGAAGAAAACATAAATCTTGAAATTATTTATATGATTTGTTTTAGTTTTTTGTGATTGATTTCCCCTCCAAAATATAAATATTTGTCTTGGAACCTGGGATTTTGGAGCCCTAAGCTTTTTGCTATATTAATTAATGGGTAGATAGTCTCACAGGAGAATAACCCAGATTTTAATAAACTCCTTAGTAGAGGATTAATTTGGCCAAAAGCTGCCCCTTTTCCTTGATAGCTGGAGGTTGATGGACCATGTAATTGTGATTCCATCCCCATTCAGAGGAAAAGTGGAGCCTTCCTGCATAAACTCTATTCTCGTGGGGCTGATTATCAGTCATAAAGAAAAAAAATGACTAGTTTTTTCCCCCCTGTACATTTGAACCTGATGTCCTTGGAGATAGATTGCCATATTTTGAGATAAATAAATTAATAGCAAGTTTAGAAAATGGGTCTTATTTTACTTTCTGAAAGACGGCATTTCCATTAAAAAGTATTTCCAATTATTTATATAGTTCATTTAACAGTTATTGCCCATTAGTGATCAGCAAATTAGTACATAGTCCCAGTGCTGACAGACCTGTTTTTGGAGTATTTGTTTCTTTTTTTTAAAAATATATTTTATTGATTTTTGTACAGAGAGGAAGGGAGAGAGATAGAAAGTTAGAAACATCAATGAGAGAGAGTCATCGATCAGCTGCCTCTTGCACACCCCTTACTGGGGATATGCCCGCAACCAAGGTACATGCCCTTGACCAGAATCGAACCCGGGGCCTTTCAGTCCCCAAGCCGACGCTCTATCCATTGAGCCAAACCGGTCCCGGCTGTTTCTTAATTGATAGAATACTGACCATGCCACAAGATATTAACACATAATAAAGATGTTTGTTAGCTTAGAAAAGGTTATTAATTTGAAGAAGGGGGAATTGGCTCACCTGTTTTTATGTTTTGTGATATACTCAGAACCTTAATGAATATAATAGTCTTATTTAAATAAACCATTAGGTTTAGAAAAAAGGTAGGAACATTGTTATAGTCTGGGAATTAGTAAATACTTAGTGATTTTGGGTATAACTGAGAAGCAGGAAAAGTGCTGTGTAGTTTACTTTTATTATAAACATGCCACCTCTTCTAATTCCAGATTTAACTATCTATTGGCACATTTTCTAATTAGCATTTAGGTTATTGTAAGTGAAATTTTATTTTACATACAATTTTTAGTGGAACTATCTTTCAAACATCATGAAAGTTATCTCTAACCCTTTTAATGCCATAGGTGTTGATAGGCACACCCTTTATCACAAGATGTATCAGTACTTCCTATAGGAAAATAAAACTTGAATGGTAGTCCTTGTTAAATTGTCCATAGTATGTGACTACTGTACTACATGTGGCTATGTAGTCAGATGATCTGAAAGTAATGTGTTCATTTTAGGTGTTGTGTTTTCTTTTTAATTGTTTTGCATCTTTCGGGTGGGAGCTTCTGAGAAGGCATACTTAAGAGTTGCTTGATTACATGCAGTTTATCCTAGTACCTCATTTGTTCTTGGTATTACTTGTTCTCCTTGCCCTAATCCCCCCCCCCCCCCCCCATTAAGATTAAGGTCAATAGGTAATATCAAGAATATCCACATATCTAGTCTAATACACTGTGTTTGTTGTAGTTTGATGGCATCCATGTGGTGAGTGGATCTCTTGACACATCAATCCGAGTGTGGGATGTGGAGACAGGGAATTGCATCCACACGTTAACAGGACACCAGTCGTTAACAAGTGGAATGGAGCTCAAAGACAACATTCTTGTCTCTGGGAATGCTGACTCTACAGTTAAAATCTGGGATATCAAAACGGGACAGTGTTTACAAACATTGCAGGGTAAGTATTGGCTACCCCCTTTTAGTTGTGTTTGTTAAAAATTAGATTGTTAGTCAAAAGACAAATGTGGAGCTTTTGTGTCACAAAAAGTTAACCTCATACAAAATGAAAATGCTTATTTTGGATAAGCTTATGAGCATTTCCACTCTTGACTTGACAAAACAAGGCTACTTGAAAAAGTATGTTAAATTGTGTGTTTAATATAAGATGTAAATTGTGGTTTTTTGATATAAAATTATTTAACCACCTCCTCCTGCATGTACAGTCAACTCTACCCAATCTTGGAGGTATCACAGAAGCAGCATGTTCATTTTATTATTTGAGTGATCATTTCATTTTGAACTTGTAGTCCAATTTTAAATTAAAGAACTGTCTTGCTGGGGGTGGGGAGCTCTCTAATCCGATAGAAAGTTGCTTTGGTCTCAACTTATACCCTTAACCATCTGCTTAACCAAATGGGAAGGAATGATAGTGCCCACTCAACTAGAGAAAGAAAAAGGTGAAAGCTACCATTATTAAATGATTACATCATGATTATGTAATCTTATATCATGACTAACTTCTTCATATTGGTCACAGCCCTTAGAATGTGTTTGTTTTCAGTGAGGCCATCTGGTAGGTCGGCCATATTGTAGCTTTTTACTCATTGGTTTTGTCTCTTTCTCAGAGTTTTGGAGTAGCGTCCAGTCAGCCTTTGCCCTTGACTGGTCAGTCCAAAGCAGTAGGGCAGTAGATCTCTTATGCTCGTATGCCTCACAGAGTCCATGGTGCCGGGCTATCTCCGCCATCACTAAGAAGAGTTCTCATTTCTGCAGCCAGAAAGCAAATGTGTAGCTAACCAAGCTTCTTGGAAGACAGAACTCTTGAAAGTTAACGCTTCAGTTATAAATGCCTACCAGATTTTCTTACATCCTTGCTGATCCTAAAATACTCAGAGCACAGTTTCTAAATATGCAGCATTTCAAATTTTCTGTGTATTGCATGTTCTATCGTAGAAGCCTATAAAATTACAAGGTAACTAGTAGCCGTGAGTTCTAATCAGTAATTAAATCCCTTTGGTTTTGCCTAGGTCCCAACAAGCATCAGAGTGCTGTGACCTGTTTACAGTTCAACAAGAACTTTGTAATTACCAGCTCAGACGATGGGACTGTAAAACTGTGGGACTTGAAAACGGGTGAATTTATTCGAAACCTAGTCACATTGGAGAGTGGGGGGAGTGGGGGAGTTGTGTGGCGGATCAGAGCCTCGAACACAAAGCTGGTGTGTGCTGTTGGGAGTCGGAATGGAACTGAAGAAACTAAGCTGCTGGTGCTGGACTTTGATGTGGACATGAAATGAAGAGCAGAAAAGATGAATTTGTCCAAATGTGTAGACGATATACTCCCTGCCCTTCCCCTCCCCCCCCCCCCATGCAAAAAGAAAAAAAAAAAGAAAAAGGAAAAAAATAGAAAAGAAAAAGAAAAAAAATCCCTGTTCTCAGTGGTGCAGGATGTTGGCTTGGGGCAACAGAATGAAAAGACCTACAGACTAAGAAGGAAAAGAGGAAGAGATGACAAACCGTAACTGACAAGAGAGGCGTCCGCTGTCTCATCACATACGAAGGCTTCACTTTTGACTGAGGGCAGCTTTGCAAAATGAGACTTTCTAAATCAAACCAGGTGCAATTATTTTCTTTATTTTCTTCTCCAGTGGTCACCGGGCAGTGTTAACATCGAAACATCATCACAGACTCTGCGCGTCTGTTCTCTTACCACTGAGACCTTCGAAAGGAGCTCTTAGAAAGGAGCTGCAATAACATCGGAATAAGTATGGTTGACTTTCTAATCAGAGAGCATCTGCAATGAAAGTCATTTTTCTGGAGTGGAAAAGCTAAAACAATATATATTACTGTGAATTGTTTTTGTACAGTTATCATGAAAAGCTTTTTTTTTTTTTTTTTTTTTTTTTTTTTTTGCCAACCATTGCCAATGTCAATCAATCACAGTATTAGCCTCTGTTAATCTATTCACTGTCGCTTCCACATACACTCTTCAGTGCATATGTTGCTCAAAGGTGGCAAGTTGTCCTGGGTTCTGTGAGTCCTGAGAGATGGATTTAATTCTTGATGCTGGTGCTAGAAGTAGGTCTTCAAATATGGGATTGTTGTCCCACCCCTGTACTGTACTCCCAGTGGCCAAACTTATTTATGCTGCTAAATGAAAGAAAGAAGAAAAAAAAAAGCAAATTATTTTTTTTTATTTTTTTTTTCTGCTGTGACGTTTTAGTCCCAGACTGAATTCCAAATTTGCTCTAGTTTGGTTACAGAAAAAAAAAAAAAAAAGACTTTTTTGCCACTGAAACTTGAACCATCTGTGCCTCTAAGAGGCTGAGAATGGGAGAGTTTCAGATAACAAAGAGTGAAGTTTGCCTGCAAGTAAAGAATTGAGAGTGTGTGCAAAGCTTATTTTCTCTTATCCAGGCGAAAATTAAAACACATTCCTTGGAACAGAGCTGTTGCTGCCTGTTCTGTGGAGAAACTTTTCTTTTTGAGGGCTGTGGTGAATGGATGAACGTACATAATAAAACTGACAAGATATTTTAAAAATATATAAAACACAAAAGTAAAATAAAGTTGCTGGTCAGTCTTAGTGTTTTACAGTATTTGGGGAAACAACTGTTACAGTTTTATTGCTCTGAGGAACTGACAAAGCAGAAACGATTCCGTTTTTGTAGTAAAGGCGTCACATGCAAACGAACGAGATGAATGAAAAAGTCACATGGTTTGCCTCATTCTCCAAGAGCCACAACTCAAGCTGAACTGTGAAAGTGGTTTAACACTGTATCCTAGGCGATCTTTTTTTTTTTTTCCTCCTCCTGTTTATTTTTTTGTTTGTTTTATTTATAGTCTGATTTAAAACAATCAGATTCAAGTTGGTTAATTTTAGTTATGTAACAACCTGACATGATGGAGGAAAACAACCTTTAAAGGGATTGTGTCTATGGTTTGATTCACTTAGAAATTTTATTTTCTTATAACTTAAGTGCAATAAAATGTGTTTTTTCATGTTAGTATGCCTGTTTCTTTCCCTGGGGTCATAATGCTTGATTATAAATATTTAGGGTTTGTCTGTCATCATTAAAAGAGCCAAGTCTTGGTTTCTTTGCGTTCCCTAGTGTGACTTAGAGATCAGTGCTTCCCGGCCCATGTGATACTAAAGTAAGAGTGATGTGGTGTGAGTGCAGGTTTTCTTCCTCTCCTTACACTCCAAAGGGTGCTCCATTGGGCTCGTCTCTGAATTACCTTGGGACGTATAACCAAGCAGCAAAAATCACAAAATTTGTTTACTGCTGTAACTTGAAATTTCATTTTAAGAATTTGACCACATCTTGCAAATGTGGTCACAGCACATTACAAGCACCAGGAATTTTCTGTACGTGGTCTGTGGGGCTCCCACCACCCTGGGAAGTAGGTACAGTTAAGTCCTCACTCAACAATGTCCAGAGGTTCTGCAACTTGAAGCAAAATGGCATACAAGGAAACCACTTTTACTGCAGGTTAATTGATATAAGCAAGTTACAATCCTATGGCATCTGTCAATATTAAAACAAAACAACCTTGAACAAAGTGATGTTATACGAGGACCTGCTGTACTATGGTCTTCATTGTAACGATGAGAGTGCAACTGCAGCTCAGACTGGTTAGGCGACTTGTTGGAAGTCAGATAACTAGTGGACTTTAAGAAGAAACATCTAGAATTTTGGCCAAAGCAAGGCTGTGGTACTTTCAGGCTCTTCTGCCCCCATTTTATGTGGTACATCTAATATAAATGAAAAAAAAAAAAAATGAAGTCAGTTATTCAAATGATTAGTCTCAAGTAGGTTCTTTCTTCCCATATATGCATATATGTGGCTATACTTGTGCATAGATAAATATAAAATCTCCACTAATCTCAGCTCTCCAAGCCATAGGTGAAAATCAACAAAATGGATGCTTCTTAATGAATAAAGTTCTCACAAAGCATATGTTCTTTACTCATAGGGCCTCACTTTCCCAAAAATACTAAGTCACCACATCTGGGAATGGGACCCACGTCTCTGCATGTACACTAGCTCACCAGGTGAGTTATGGACACAACTTCGAGAGCCACTGCCTTTGATATCTTTCCAGTATGGATGGTGATTTGGTTTATTAGTTCATGCACATTACAAGCACTAGGGTATCAGGGAGGAGTGACAAGTTACAGGAAAAGACTTAAGAACTGTGAACACAGCAAAAATCCTGAGGCCGTGAAGTGCAGGGGCCAGCAGCCCTCCCAACTCGAGGGTAAACACTGACTCTTCATTAGCTGACCCATTCATTAGAAGACAATGAATTCACAGGTTTGTAGACAAATAGACCTGAATTCAAATCTCTGTTCTAATACTACTTTCTAGTAATGGGACCTTCATCAGTTTTTTTTTGTTTTTTTGTTTTTTTTGACCTCACGTTTCATCATCCAGAATGTAAAGAGTACCTCCTTCTAAGGTTACTGTAGGGATTAAATGAAATGTTGCCAAGTATATAGCACGCATATGATACTTAGAGTTTGATAAATGGTAGCTACTATTAGAACTTTAGGAAAATTGACCCAGATGATTGTAACTTCTGTATCTGGGAACAATTGGATGTGTTCATGACTCATCCAGGAATGTAATAAAAATAGCATTTCTATATGTAGAAGTTTACATTTTTTAGAGTAAAGTTACGTAAATGTCTAATTTGATTCTTATCAAAACCTTGTGAGGTAGACTAGTATGGAGCACCTAATGGCAATTTTGTACATACTTAGGTGTTCATTTTTTTATTCATAAATGAATAATTTTTATTATTGTTTCCAGAAGAGAAAATGTTAACCTCATTCTAAAGAAATTAGTGTCATTATACTAAGAAAGGTCACGAAGGGGACTCTGCTTTGTGACCTCCTTAATGAAGATATTCACCACCTTCTATAACTGAATTTTTAAATCTTCGTATCAGAATATAAGCTGTCTCCACATTTAGATGTCACTAGTTCCCAAAGATCAGACATTGCCTGAAACTAAAGCTAAAATTGGGTCACAAAGGTAACCCATAAAAGCCCGAAGCAAATGTTCAGTGAATACTTGTTGAATTGAGTAAAGTGAGTCTCTCAGTCTCTCTCTTTCGCTTTCTTCCCATCCCCCCCTTCCCTCTCCCCCCCATCTCCCCCCCCCCCCCCCCCCCCGTCCCCATCTCATTGGAAGTGTCTTAATTTTGACACTTGGATCCTCTTACTGAGATTCAATAACCACAGCTATCATTAATTTGCAACAGCAACTGCATACCAAATTGTTAAGTTAATATTTCAACCTACCTATTGGTTTAATTTTAAAAAGTAATTGACATTTAATTATTTGTGTTAACTGTTTTTAAGCAGGTTTCTTTATGCCTTTTGAGCCTGTCTGTTATAAAGTCTCCTTTCTATTTCTTTGACTTGATAAGAGTCTAAATCAAACAACAGGAAAAGACCTCTGCTTTTCCCTGAGGTGAGCCAGGATCAAGGGCAGCCTCCCTAGACCCCGGTGGTGCCTTGCTTTCTGCACACTTTTCCCTGCACTCACTGCATAGTGTGGAACAAAGGGATGGGGTAGAGGAGAGAAGACACTCAAAGGAGTCTGCCCAACTCCATCCTCCTGTGCTTCCTTCCAGTCCACGTTGAAACCAGAAACAAGCAGTTTGTCAGAGCAGGAATAGATTCCTGCGTTTTCTGATTCCTGTCCTCAGACACTCCTCTTCATTCTTTTTCCTTCTATTAGTCATCCCCAACCCCCAGAGTCAGGATTGGAACCTGTGCTCCATCAGATTATTCAGCCAATGAGGGATTCATCCTCGGCATCCCTTACAACAATGCTAGGGGAGCCTCCTGCTTTCCCTGCACCATTTGTAGTTATGCTGGTAGAAAGTGGTTTAGTGCTCTCGATGAAAGGATCTGCATAAACGCTTCTGATGCAGGTTGTTTTCATGTTCCCTGCCTACTGCATTTCGAAATAGATTGTGTGTGTGTGTGTGTGTGTACAAACACACAAATACAAGGATCTATTGGAAGCTGGGAATAAGCCTCTTGTTCCCAATGAATCATAACATCATTTCCCTTAAGCTGTTCCCCTTCCATCCATGAGAAAGAGGAATGGGACCCAGAAAGGGAAGGTCCGGTGGCCAAGAGGAGACGCCCTAAGTCTTTCCGTGAGAGGCGAGTGGCCTCTGAAGACTGTATGTGTGAGTTCACACTGTGCTCTTGGGGCCCTGCGTTGAGTAACCGTATAGTAATTTGAAAAGTTGATGCACAGTTTGTGATTTTGGCATTTTTCTATTCTCCAAAAAATAAAATTAGATCCAAACCTGAACAGTTAGAATGATAAAGATTACAACAACTACTGAAGCCTTGGCTGCCGATCCCTTCCTCCCCCCCGCACCTCCCCCATCCTCCTGAAATCTATCTTATTAAAATCTATCTACGGTCCAGGAGATAGGTTTCAAGTTAGAGCCAGCATGGCTGCACCAGCTCTGTCAGTGAGAGTGCTTAGTCACTGATTTGAATTACAAACAAGCAGAGCATGGCATTGTGGCATTGTTCATCAGCCAGCACCTCTCGTTTTCCACTCTATTAGTACTAGCGATGCCCAGCTGAGTGAAGTCCTTGCCAACTTCGGCCCTCTGCCTCCTCTTTTTAGGTGGAGGAGGCCAAAAATATCAAAGGTAATTTCAAAGGTCCTTCGGGGAAATGAAAGCACCGAAAGCTGAAAAGGACTCAGAATGCACCTTTCCCCACAGAATGGAGCATGAATACATTCCAGACCCAGTTCCTAAGAAGACGCATTGCTGAGAGGAAAGGCTGGCCACGTCCCCATTTGCAATTGGGTATAAAAATAGCAGAGTTTCTATTTCAGATGATCCGTTTCTCCCCGAGATTTTTAAGGACAAGGAACCAGGGAGTGAACATTCTGATGTTTCATTCTTGGCTTTGGAAAATCTATTGTGACAGCACCTCTGAAGGATGTTTACCTTTGGGTTTTGTTTTGCTTTGGCAGTCATGCTCTGCAAAAGAAAAATTACGTTGAAATCACTCTTGCAAATCAAAGGTTCAAATGTAATAGACCATAAAAATATATTGCAAATATGTTTTAAGGAGGTTCATAGATTATAAAAGAGACATCAGAACACTGCTCACCACAAGAGGAAGGTTATTTGTGAGACTTTTTTTAAAAATATATTTTTTAAAATCGATTTCAGAGAGGATGGGAGAGGGAAAGGGACACAAACATCAATGATGAGAGGGAATCATTGATCGGCTGCCTCCACTCAGGATCAAGCCAGCAACCCAGGCATGTGCCCTGACTGGAAATCAAATTCTGACCTCCTGACTCACAGGTTGAAGCTCAGCCACTGAGCCATGCTGGCCCGGCTTTGTGAGACCTTTTAAATGTGTATTGATGAAGCCCGTTAAGACTTGACCAAACCTGATGCCTTACTAAATGCAATCAGACAATCCAGTCCCCAGCCACCAGGATCCTTCAGTGTGAGGATGCTCTCCAACTCTGCTGAGTGCCATCCAGCAGCTTCAATAAACCCTCCAGGACACAAGAGGGTAAATAATAAAATGGCATGCTACTCTGGTAAGGTTTTGGGGGACCTGAAGCTTATAAAGGACCCTCTTAAAAAGCAAAACCAGATCCAAACTTGTACAAATAGAATGATAAAGGTTACAACGACCACTGAAGCCAGAAATGCGGATCCCTGTTTTTCTGAGATCACTTTGGGCAAGTGAAGAGAAGGCTCTTACAGTTCTGAGGAGAGGCAGGGCCACGCAGAAGTTAGGTTGGTACATAGTACATCCATAACTGTTAGCAGTTATTATTAGTGGCAGCATTAATGAAAAAATACCGCTGTGTTCAAATTTCATCTCAACCTCTTGTGTGACTCTGGAAGATTTTTTTTTCATTCTTTCTGAACCTCTCCCATCACCCGCAAAGGAGAAGGTAATTGCTATGAGTGTTAGATGAGGTAACGTGTGCAGCACGTGGCACAGGGCTTGGCTAATTATGGACTCAGTCCTGCCACTAACAGTAAAGAAACAGGGGACCATCTTTCAGGCCATCATTTCAAGCTTAATCCGGAAGAGGAGATCTATGAGACTTCTAAAACACAATGGCCACATTACCTTCCCAATGTGCCAGGAACCAAAAAAAGCAGTATCCCCTATTAGAAAGTAATATGCAATCCAGATTAAAATGACAAATTATCTCTTTCTCCCCAAAGACCTACTTAAGTAATAGTAGAGAAACTGAAAAGGCATAGTAATCCCAAAAGGGGAGTAAGAGAGAAAAAAGACAAATAGACAAAAGGTATCAACAACTTTGGATGAAGGGAAGCAGATGGCGGAATGGTCTCCAAATCGCAGATGAGAGAAATCACACCTAAGTGCCCAGGAAGAGGGGGATACAAATGAAGAGTGGGCTAATTCTTTATTGGAAAGGCAAGGGCAAGGCCTGGGGCTGAGAACTGGGGGATGATCGAAAGTAAGAGCACATGACGTGGGTGGAGCCCGCTTCCCTTCCTTACCTTCTGGTGGCCAGGGAACCATCTATGCAAACCCCCCCCTTCCCCCCCCCCCCCCCACACACACACACACTCCTTGCCCATGGCAACACCCTCCCACACACACAGTTTCAGGCGTCTTCAAACTACGGCCCGCGGGCCACATCCGGCCCGCAGAGGAGTCTGATCCGGCCCGCCAGGTTTTTTGGGCAGTGAGCGCAGCCGAGGTGTTACAGTAGGAATTAGTAGTTCATATAGTCCGGCCCTCCAGCTCTCTGAGGGACCATGATCTGGCCCCCACTTTAAAAAGTTTGAGGACCCCTGGTTTACAAGAACTCTGAAGGGGATGTGATCCCAACTGAGTACACACCACAGGAGAATGGAGATTACATTGCAGTCTGCAATTGTCCCTCACCTCCCAGAGTGCCAACAGGCTGGCACATACCAGGGGATTCCTCCCCAGAGAAGTGACCAACCCAGGAGAAAAAGCCTCCCTATACTGTCATTGGACAAAGAAACGAGGGCTCCTCCAAGTAAACTGTAGGCTCCCCCCTCCATCCAAGGAGAAACTCCTCAGTCAGGGAGTCCCAACCACACAGAGGGAGCTCCTATCTGACTGTGAGTGTGTGTATCTTAAGTAGGGAAAAATAGTCAAGAACCACCAAACATCTGAGAAAGACATCCACTGACTAAGCCAAGAGATCCATGAAGTAAACGTGGACAAAGAACTGTAGTCAGTAACCTTGTGTGCGCGTTTGGTTTGGCTGGCCGTGCTTGGTGTTGGGGTCTGGTAGCTACAGGCTATGTATTCATTTGTGTGTGATTCACTGTGGCTTTCTGGCTGGCGATCTAGACTGTTACCCAGAGATTCCTGAAGGTTTCAAAGCACCCAGAGGGACCATTCGCAAGTGTTCCTTTTTTGAGAGCTATTTAACCATCACTTGTCAATTGGCGTCAGCTGTTTGTTGAAGTGGGCGGATTCTTTGGGTCATGAAGTCTTAGGTGACCGTTCATAAGCTGGATCCTCAAATCTTCAGTATGTATGACACATCAGGCAGTATCCCTACCCTCGGTGAGTTATTTATTTTCTTTCTTTTTCTTTTTTGAAGCAGCCAGCAGGGACCCAGGGCTAGTTAAGCAAGTCTTGCTTCCTAACCAGGAAGCCAGGGCTCCAGCGAAAGAATCTCCTCTGCAGGAACCTGCTGCTCTGGAGATGGGCCTGAGGTCTCACACAGAGGCGCCACGTTGGAGAAGAAACACCAACTCCACGGAGAAAGGCTGTGACGGGGCCTCTTCATCAGGATCCAGGTCTTCTGCTTTGGTGAGTGTCACCCTCCCAACCTCCTGGGAGAGCGTTTCTGGCCCTGTGCTCGCCGAGGCCTGGCACCCCTTCCAGCCACAGAGCCTGAGTGTCCTGAGTGAACACCCCCGTGTTCCTGTTCATTCCCACTCAGCGAAGGCGTCACGGTGATTGGAAACATAAATTAGAACTAAATTAGACTGAGGCTGAGAGTCCTGGAAGCATGACTGCCCATGAGCATTACTGGCGGTTTTATGTCTCCATGGCCCGGGGTGCGGGTTGGGGGCCTCCCACATCAGTAACCCCGCCATCGGGCTAATCCGTGCACAGGACATAAATTTGGATCTCCAGAGGCCTGACTCGGCCCAGAAAGAGAGTACCTTCCTTCAAGTTGTGTCCACCTCTAAGAAAGAAAGAAAAAAAAAATCACTTACCCACAGAATATGCTCAAGTTGTTAAAAAGCTCTTTCTTCACCCTTTCCTCTTGCTTACCCGGGAGAAATCCAAATTTTAGAAAACTTAAGATAAATCAACAGAGAAGAACAACAGATCAACTTGGGGCTAATATCAGTAGCTGGGAAGACCAATTAACAAATTCCTGCATTGTGCTGTTTACACTCCTATTCCTGAGGTTAATTATGCGATCAAGTAATAGCTTTTGTCTTTGATTACGGGGCCCTCAGGAAATAAAAGTGTGTTTCCACTTTACAAGTGTGTTTGCATTTCGGTCCTGTGTTGGTAGCAGGTACTGGGCTCAGCAAATATTGCCTTACACACGGTTATCATCAAAGGAGAGGGTCTTAATTTTAAGAGCTTGGAGACTAGCTGAGTAAACAGAAGCATAATTTGAACAAGTGCTAACACCCACCTATACATCTCTCTCCCTGCTCTGGGCTACTGTTGGTTCTTTCCAGGTGCTGTGGCCTGGAAAATGCCCAGTGGCAGGCTCTCTCCCATGATTTCCTATTGGGAAGAATGAGTAAAAGTCGCTGCCTGGCCTTACACATAGGAAAAGAAACAAAAATGTCCCCTGCATTGGCTCAGAAAGGTCATGGCAGCTTACACGTTTCGAGGGATTTTCTTATGGCAGGCACCTCACGCGAACTAGCTCAAAAAATATTCACGATAGAGGCAGATGCTAGCATTATCATCACCTCTGCTCTGCAGGTGGGGAAATAGGCATTGAGAGGTTGAGATTATGCATGCTGCCCCAGCCCATAGCAGCCAGTCAGAGCAGGACTTGAACTCAGCGGTCTGGCTCCAAAGGCTCATACTTAACCGCTGGGTGTTGTGCTTCTTTCTCGCTTCGGGGCCTGCCTTTGGTGCACAATGTTAGAAGGTGGGTTATTTTAACACATTGGAGGAAGACACCTCAAAGGTATGTTGTGCCACTTGTAAGCTTCAAGTGAGGTGCAAGCTACCTCTGCTGCCTGCATTACCTCTGAGCAGCCTGCCTCAGAGTAATGAAACAGAGTATACTTTGGTGCCCTGGGTGGGGTGGCTCCACTGGGCATCATCCCATGCCCCGAAAGGTTGCTGGTTGGATTCCAGGCCAGGGCACATGGCCGAATTTCAGGCTCGACCCCCTGTAAGGGACATGCAGGATGCAGCCAATAGATGTTTCCTCTCACATTGATGTTTCTCTGTCTCTCTCACTCTCCCTCCCTCTCTCTCTCTAAAAAAAGTAAATTAAAAATCTTTTTTTTTTTTTTAAATGTATTGGTGTCTTTGGGGGCTGCTGAACATGTTCCAGAGATGTGGCCTGACACCTGTGAGGCCGAATCCTCCTGCCCTGCTGGAGCTCTGGGCTGGTCCAGGTCTGGCACCCAGTGAGTGTTTATTGAGGTTGGGTCCAACTTAGGGCCACACAGCCATGCCTGGATGGATGCCCACCTCAACGGGCAACATGGGTAAATAAAAATGGGTTTGTGTCTTTAATAAGGACTCATCACAGACTTCTCTGGATGAAGGTCAATGTATCAAATTCATTTCATATCTTCCTCGTGACAAGAGTCCCTACTGAGAACGGGAGGCAGCAGGTGCAGCAGCTGTGTGCTCAGGCCGCTGAGGCTGGGATGAACCAAGGCCAGGCTCTGCCACGTTCAGCCAGGCCACCTCAGGTCCACGCCTCACCCTCCCTGCAGGTCACTGGCCTCCTCTGTAAAAGAATATCTGTCTCCTAGGTTGTGATGAAGACGAAACCAGATAATCCAGGCAAAGGGACGCTGCGTGTGGCCCTGGAGCCAGCAGCAGCAGCAGCAGCCTCACCAACCGGGGCGCTCCTGGAGAGGCAGACTCTCTGGTCCCACCAGACCTGCCAAATCAGAGTGAGTGGTTAGTCCTCCAGGTCGTGCACCTGAATGGTCCTTCCTCTGAAATGGCCCTTCTCTCCGCTCTGTGGGAAGTCACAGAAAAGTGAATCGCAGCATCATTGTTCGCCTTGAGATCAGCAGCCTAACCTCCTGCTAACATACCATAAACAGAGACACTTGAGAAATGGAGCCGGCACTGCCGTCCCAGAGGAGCTGCCGCGCCTCCGTCAGTGGGCTGTGAAAACGGGCCAAAATAACCTTCAGACTGGGGCTGACGCATCATTGTGCCCCAAAGATCTGTTGGCAAAGAGAGCAAGAAAACAGTTACAAATGATCCCCGCTGGACTGGAAACTGAAAGCACTGTGTGGATTAGCATCACTGTGCTAGCTTATCTGCACCAACAGACGCCTGCCTTCTATTGATGTAACTGCCCTTCCCTTCTCACCAACACCCATTGCCAGCATTTCCTCATGGGAGCACTACCGGGGCTTCTGCCTGGATCAGTGCATTCTGAACACCTATTCTTTTTTTTAATAATCCTCACCCGACGACATGTTTTTATTGATTTTAGACAGAGAGGAAGAGGGAGGGAGGGAGGAAGGGAGGGAGGGAGGGAAGGAGGAAGGGAGGGAGGGAGGGAGGGAGAGAGAGAGAGAGAGAGAGAGAGAGAGAGAGAGAGAGAGAGAGACATTGATCTGTTGCCTCCTCTCAGGGATCAAACCTGCAACTCTTGTCTATGCCCTCACAGATATTGAACCTGTGACACTGGTGAATGGGGCGACGCTCCAGCCAATGGAGCCACACTGCCTAGGGCCCGAACAGCTATGCTTACTGAGCTCAAATAAATGCTTGTTGCTTCTCGTCTTGAAAGGCCTTGAAGTTTTAGGTTAACCTCAGCATCACCCTTCCAGGACTAAAGTGTCAGGAGGGGAGAGACCCTGGAAATGAGGCCCGGGCCCAGGTGGACTCCCCTCTCCTGTGCCCCTGTCCCCCTCTAAATCCTCAGAGAGGCAGGGAGAGCACCAGAAGAGAGCAAGAGCCTTTCCGGGGGAACCAAAGTGGGGACAACAAACAGCCACAAAATGTGTGGCTTTTGCAACAGGCAGTGAGGGGAGCTGGCAAGTCACGCCTGGTCTGGCACTAAGAAAGCCTTTAAAAAATTATTATTACTACTTTTAGCACAACCTGAGTGTGGCTTTTCAATCCAGTGCACAGTTACAGCTCAGAGGGGACTGGCAGGCCGGTGAAGAGCCCTCTCCCTCGGAAGTCTGTTTGGAATGCAGAGGCTCTGACCAGGAGTGTTAGGAGAGAGAAGTGTGACTGTCTGAGTATTCAGTCTCCCAGGTACTTCGATATTTTACAGTGAGACATGGTGTACACTAAGCTGTGAATAAGCCAGACTTTAAGCCATGGGCATACAGGAAGACGTAATTAGTGTAAGGAAGCCTCGTACCACTGTTCGGTGAGGTCGTACACTTCAGGATTAGTGCCACGCACAAAGGAAAAGTATACAGCTGCGTACGCGGGCTGCCGAGAATGTGTCTATCGCACTCGGTTTAAAGGAGATGAAGCAGCAGTCTGCAGGACCGCAGTCAAGCTTTAATTTTCCTTTTGGGTTTTCCCTCCCTGTATCTGTAGAGGACCCCACAAAGGTTTGATAAGCAGAGTTTTTGCCAGTCAGTGAATAAGAGAGCTCTTATCAGGAGCATCCCACCTCAGCAGCCACCTGGGAGTTCAGGGGACAGGCGGGCACAGTGCCTCCGGCAGATTTGGAGAAAAAGCATAGCTCGCTGTCCCCCAGCCAGCCGCCCCGCTGTAACGCGGTTTTCAGTGACTCTGATGCTACACCCTGGGCCTGCCACACTGGGCCTGGGTTCCAGGCCCAACTGCTAGGAAATGAAGAAACGGAACTCACAGAGGAAGAGAGGCCGCAGGAGCCATGCTGTGTAACCAGCCTGGACTCCAGGAAGAGATCAGAAAGGAATGAAACCCCAGGGCTCCCTTCCTCCCCTAAAGCTTGACTTCCCAGCAGCTGAGCTAGAAGTCCTGGAGGGAGCCTGACAGGTGCCCGCCCAATTCCAGAAAGTTCTGGAAGCCAGGACCTGAAAGCAATCATAAGAAAGAAAGATCCCAAGGAGAGAAGGCGTGGAAAGTGGCCCTGGTCACCCCAAGTCTTCTTCTCACCCTGTGGGAGTCCAGAACCCCGGAATCAACCTAGAGCTCTGGGTATGGGGGCGCAGCCACGGGGGAGCGGGAGGGGCACGGCATAAACCAGTCCTGAAAGGACCCCCCTAAACACAGGGTGTCCCCTGCCCAGAGGACAGCAGGGCCATCCCTGGGACACGCTCCCATGCAGGCTCTGGGGCCGCCCGGCCTTTGGAAAGGTGGGGTCCCCAGGCAGGGCACACACAGCAGTTCTCTCCGAAGCTCCGTCTGTCTGTTCGCCAGTGATGTGACTGCACACCCATCTCCCAGCCAGGCCTCTCCCTCAAAGCACCTCCATGTGCTTTCTGGTGTGTATGTGCTTTATAAAGTGTACATTTAATTTTCTCAGTGGCTCTCAAGAATTTCGGAAACACTTGTTGAAACCTAGATAAGGAAGGAGGAGAGGGAATAAAGCAGAGACATAGAGGAAACACCAAGTCCTCTCTCCTCCTCTCCCCCAGGCATTGAGTGAGGCCTGGCAACCCCCCCAGCAGTGAACAGCAGTACCCAGCACCCAGGGCTGCTTCCTGGGCTGGGTCTGTCCGTGCTGGCTCATCACCAGCCAGTATTTCCGAAAGGCCCTTCTCAGGCGGCGGGTGAGGGCACTCCAAGTGCTGTCCTGGGCATCAGCCGGGCAGCTGACATGAAATATTCTGTAAAAGAGCTGCGTCTGCTGCCCTGGGTGAGGGAGGGAGCCTGCAGGGGGGTAAACCCAGCAGCACCAGGAGCCTTGGGAGAAGCTAGCCTTGCAGGAGGACCCTCCCTAGGGAGGGCGAGGGGGTCCCCTAGAGAGACGGTCAGAGCTGCGGCAGTGGCAATGGGATAGGGTGGGCCTTGGACATAGAGACATGGAGACACCCACCGTCCTGAGGTTTCCAGGGCCATCCTGATTCTTGTCAATAAAGCTGTACTAGCGTTTCTGCTCTAACATCTTATGTACATGGCTAAACACCCCGAGCTCTACAGAACGGAGTGCTAAAAAGTAATAGGGCTTATGGGGGAAATAGAGCTGTGCAGTCCATAAAAATCTGTGCAATTTAGTAACCAGAGCACTAGCAGGAGCTGCCACAGCTCTCATAAAACCCGAGCCTGGTTATGTCTGTCTTGGCATTTGCACTGGGCATCACCTGCTGTGAGTTTTTTGAAACCTTCAAGCCATCCTCCCTCCCCCTCCCCTGGGGCCTCACTTTCTGCTTCTAAATGTGAGTCCTGGGGGTGTTCGCTCCCAATGGAGGTAAGTTCCATCGTGAGGAACGGTCTGGTTCAAGGTGTGTTTTTAACTTTGGAGGAAACATAATCAAGCTCCCAGGTCTAATTAAGTTTATCGCTAATTTAGTGAAGGTAGATGAACACCTTAAATAGCACCGTGACCCTACAATGAACAAAATTCATTGTAAACCTGATGTGAACAAACCAATTATAAATATACTTTAATGGAAAAAACAAACAAAAA